CTTCATCACCTTACACGAAATTGGGTGAATACATGTCATACTACTGATTTACTGGTAGTCACGAAAACAAAAGTATATAATACACCAAATGGTATTTGCCACTTAAGCGTGCTACAGTGTAATATAATAAACTATAGACGACGACGACGACGACGACGACGACTACTACTAAATTCTGAAATATTAGAAACTTTCACGTTGCTACATGATAATTAACGTATGATGTGGTTTACTCAACTCTATTAACTCTAGGCTAAACTGTAATATTGCGGAACTAACTAGATTTGTTTAAACTAGATTGGAATTCACTGTACTCCATCACATTAGGCCGTACTATACTGGAAACTAATATTATTTATTATTCCGAACTATATACTAACCAAAATTATATCCAACTCTTCTGTACTCCACTACAATAAACTATATCATGCTATATTGTACGACGCTATTTTGTGTATAATCGATGGTATATTTTTTATTAATTCCAACTAGACTATATTATTCCACATCATGATATATACTTTTAACTCCTAGTCTGGTGTCTTTTGGTCTATATTATTATATTTTGCTTGATTTTACTCTCCGACTCTACACATTGCTATACTTTACGATACTATCCTCGTATAGAAGTGAGGTAATATTTATGTAGTGACGCTTTGCGAGACATTTTTGATAGAACCGTTTAACCAATTTCAGATGCTTTTGATCATGTCCTTGCATAAAATGCTTGTTTGATGGTGTCTGCAATTTTGTTTCTTTTCGCCTGTTGACGAATCCGGTTATGCCAGAGTCAATTTAGTTGAGTGGAGCTTTTCAATTGTGAAGAGAGCACTTACGAGCCTTACTCATAGTCTGTCATTTTAAGGAATCGTTCACCGACCTGGAGGCGAATTGTACAAACTCATTTTTCTCCAAAACAGTCGGCCTCCTGAGACTGTCACTGTTGGGCTCATGGAGAGAGGTTGCGTCTCTCCGGGGCTTACAAATATGCATAAAAACAGGACCAACAGACCTGCTCATGAAGAAGAGTTATTAGCTGATGCAGCTTTGGCAAAAAACATGCTTGCTTGCAGTTTGCCTGCAAATGGTACCAACTGCAAGGAAAGAAGGCTTTCAATTCTGCGCAAGACTTGCATAAAGCAAGCAGCTCATTCTCGCATGAAAGAGGAAACAGATGAAAAGGCCG